CACCCACACTGTACTCACCGTTTTATCACAATGAAGATCGAATGAAATTCCAAGTTTCTTTACATATATCCGGCAAATTCACACTAATTGTGTGAGAACTGCGTCGACTACGAAGCGCATGCACAGACAAAAACACTGGGAAAGACCCCAATTGTAGAGCAGAAACGGTACAAATTGATGTTTCAACAGCGCACATAAACAAACACACGGAGAAAAAACCCAATTGCAGAGCAGAAGTGGAAGAAAGTGATGTCTCAAGAGCGCACATAAACAAATTCAGTGAGAAAAAACCCAATCGCAGAGAAGAAATGGCAGAAAATGGTGTTTCAACAGCGCGCACAAACAAAAACACTGAGAAAAACCCTGATTGCAGAGCAGAAATGGAACAAGAGTTTGAGGTATGGAGTGTGGGTATTGACGTGAGTGTAGATGTGAGGTGTGGGTGTGGATGTCGGCTCGTAAGTCTCACACACCCACACCCACCCACACACGCATCCACATTCACATATACATCCACACCCTCACCAGCACCGACACTCATACCTACACTCACAAACACATGCACACCCACACCCTCGCTCACAACCACGCCCACCCACACCGTTGAAGTCTACTTCATCATGCATGTATTTTCTTTTTATTTGTATTTTCTCCTTCACTAGTCTTCACTGAGAATGTTTTATTGCGACTATGTATATTTTCTTTTGATGAAATGCATAGTGGGAAAAAACCATAGGTAGAGCAGAGGGCAAGGAAAAAAAAACAGAAAAATTTTGCCATTATACAAAAGTAGCAAACGAATCATTCCGCGAAAGAAATCAACTATAACACATACGAAGCGACAACTAGCATTACAATTTTCTCGATTCATTTAATTTCAATTATTTGCTTGTGGTGAGTAGTTTGTTGCAATAATTTTAAGAACAAAGTATAGCATGATGGTGGGTATAAATGTGAGTGTGCGGGTATTTATTTGATTGTTATCAGTATTATACACTCGAGCTCCATTCACACATTTAAATAGAGTTCTCTGTCGAAATTTGATTAATAATTTTAATACTTCGTAGAAAATAATTCACAAATTTCTAAATGACATTTATCTGAGTTGATTTTTTATTCTCAGAATAGAATGATCAATGTATCACATTTCTATCAATTTTCTTCAATCAAAAGTAATAATGTTTCAATGAGCAGTATAGTGTGCGTCAACATACGTAGTTATCATTTTTCTCTATTCTGTCACTTTTATGATGTAATCACTCTATTTTTTGTCTTGATCTTATCCATACGACGGATGTAACGGTAGTATTCAGGAAAAAAGTTGTTTCATTAAAACAAGTTTCTTTGTGTGGTAAACCAACTATACTATGCGTTTTTTCGGATTCTAATCGTTTTTAGGTAGAAAGTGACGAAGTAGTCCTGACTTGATTTGTATACTAAATTTTATAAAAAGAAACACGTTCTTGAAAATATGGTTCTAAAGGGAAAATATATCGTAAAACATACTCTACAAAATAGCTTGTGGTTGATCGTGGTAGACTATACAGTAAGAAAGCTATAAACTAAAAGGGATGTTTTACATAAAATAAAAGTTAGCCGTGAAGTTTTCAGAACATAAAGAAAATAGTGGCATATAGCAATTCGAGGATTCAATTTATTTGGAAAATCATGTTTGAAGTCAATAAATAACTAGTTTTAGACATGAAAAACATTTTTTGTACATTAACGTTTTATTTTTTGAAAATGAATTTTAAGCCAGTGCCGATGACAAATTATAGTCTTATGTGAGAAGGACGCGAGTGTGAAATGTGATGCGAATATGAGTAGGTATCATATTGATATCATGTTCACGCTATAGTCATACATATCCTACGATAAGAACACAGTTACAGTGATCTCCTTAAAAGACCAGTAGAGCAGAAACAAACGACAAAACATATGTTATTAAACATTAATACTAATCAAAGAATAACTAAGTATTAATAAAATAAAATTAACAGAAATGTAGAGTATTGGATCATTCTATTCCTGAAACTGAAAATGAACTGAAGTAGATGTCTTTGGAAAAGATTATGAATTGTTTTCCAAAGCATATTAAAAGTAGTAATAGAACTACGACAGAAGACTATGATAGTACGATTGTTATTTCTTAAAATGTGGAAATAAAAATAGAAACAAATGAACACTTCCTTTATAGGTGCCTTACGGATGAGTTTCGCTAGCAACTAAGAAAGAAAGATCTACAAGATATTTTGTTACATAATAATCCTATTAGTGGCAATAGTATTGTAAATTTTTTTACCGAAAACTAACGTAAGAGTTTACATATCCTTCTAGAACTATCATATATCCTCACATGGCGTCTGTAAATGATGTTGGACTTGCATCTACGAACGATGGTGAACTTGCATCTACGAACGATGGTGGGCTTGCATCTACGAACGATGGTGGGCTTGCATCTACAAGTGATGGTGGGCTTGCATCTATAAGCGATGGTGGGCTTGTATCAAGTCAAACCGATATTAAACATCTCGAAGACGAATTTCGACAATATCGGGACGAATCACAAAAAAAAATTGAAAAGTTAATAAAAGACTTGAAGAAACTTCGGGGTAAGTATGGATGTGGTTATAATGTGTACCTATTAGTTATATCAACACCTACAAGCCCTATTTATATACTTGTTTGATACTGCAACACCTACTTGTGCTTCCAAATTTAAGATCATTCTAATTCGTTAGTTATCAAATCTGTCGGTTCCCTGTAGATGAATACTATCTTTCTCTAAATGTTAGTATTTTAGCTGTCAATACCTATTGCGTGAACTGGTGATCTCATGAACTCAAGCTTTGTAAAAAAAAGGTTAGAGAAGATCGCATTGAGAATGAATTCATTCAAGAAAAAGTAGTGTTAGCATTCCTGATTGTTTTGTTCTGACAGTGACTCTCTCCCTGCAACGAATAGATTACCCTCAAAATTATATCACATATACTATTTTGTCAATTCATTCTTTTCATAACCTCAAAACTTTAAAATATCTTTGATGAATATATCTAGTACTCTGAAGATACTTCACAAATTTGTCGATTTTCATAGAGTGATTGTTTGATACTAGTCATAGATTATAGTCATTATAAGTTATATTTATTTTAAGATTTTTGGCTTGTGGCATTGCCATCGTAAAGAAACAAAGAGATTTTAAATATCAATCAATCATATACTAAATCTTGTTTATGCAGCTTTACTTTATGAGTTCCAGTGACTAGCTGTAACTCCTATATAAAATTGTATTTTGAAAGTATTCAGAAGTATAATTAGAGCTTTTAAAAATTTCTATGAAAGTTAAGAATCTATTTTAAAAATAGAGTGAAAATCATGTTTGAATCGATTTTAATTGGCTTGTCTACGATCTCAATTGGATTAAAGTTTACTTGATACTGTACTATTCAATCGATTGAAAATCGAAGAGAGTATTTAAAGTAAATTCTAGTCATTTATTTTGGACTTTTATTGCAAAGTTCTAAACATGTACTAATAGTGAGTACCGAAGCATAGTATCTGCCCCTAAGATTGATCTTACATCACACGCACTACTTGTTGATGCAAGAAATCCAAAGTCCCGATCGAAAAGTTTGGGTGATAGAATAAAACTTTGGGAAAAACGTGTTTTTGATCGACATGCTTTATATCGATTATCTTTTTAATTGATTTTTATGGATTTTATTTATTTTAAGAAAGGATTGTGCCTAAAGTTAAGTTGTAAAGAAAATATCATTTTTTTCTTAGATTTACATAGTTTGAACAGGTACTAAATTCGACCTCGACAGTGTATTAATACCTATTGATATGTATCAAAAGGTTCAATCTGTAATGTTAAGAATGAATCAACACGTTTTATTGCATTACACTATACAATACGCACTATTCTTATCTTCAGTTTATCTTATTATCAATCTCTTCTTCGCAATACTTACAAGATTGGGAACCACATCATGTTTTCGAGAGATTGCAAATAGCAAATAGATGTGAACAATGTATCTTTAGAGTCTGAGTCACAGTATGTATGCAGCAGAGTTATTCTCATATATGTATATATCTATAGTGTGATGGTGAAATTGAAATAGGTCACTCATAATCACAATAATATATAAAGAAAACAATTTCGTTTCTAGTTGCGTCGAATTGAAGTTTGTTTTCAAGATAAAAAACTTTTAATCTTAATTCTGGTCAACTAAAGTGTTAACATGCGGTAGAAGTGGTCTTACATTAGTGAGATTATATGATCATATCCATATAGAGAAAAGGAAAGTTTTTATAATTTTCAAACTTACACATAGTTAACGTTCGATATCTGTAGATAAATTTCAAATTTGACATCAATAAGTCTATGTAATAGATCTAAAACTAATCACTTTTCTTTCTGCATATATCAAGAATTCTTTTCCATGATGTTTTATACAAAGCAAACTATCATTTGTATCTTTCATTTAGAACAACAACAATTTGCCACGCCTAGTACTTTTGATAGGCTCGGTTGTAAAGGTCGTCGTTGCTTCAAGTGCGGTGAATGCCGTGATTGGTATTTTACTGGGGATGCACGAAGTTGGAAATGGATCGGCAATTACGAAAATTGGGCAGAAGGAGAAGGCAACTTCTGGGGCGGTGATTCTCTTTATGAATGCTTCAAGCGACGTGATGGTGCAACGTGTCGTGGTGATGTTCCTCGTCATCTTCCACGAGATCTTCCGGGCCGTCGTCGTTATGATGGTCATCGTCCTCATGATAGGCATGATGTTCCTCCTGATCTTTCTGGTGATGATCGTATTGGTCGTCGTCTTGCTCGTGTTGATGATCGTATTGATCGTCTCGATCGTTATCTTCATAGTCATGATCGTCTTGATCGTCATCTTCCTCGTGATCTTTCCGGTGATGACCGTCTTGACCGTCTTGATGATCGTATTGATCGTCGTCTTGATCGCCTTGATGATCGTATTGATCGTCGTCTTGATCTTCTTGATGATCGTCTTGGTCATTTTTCTGGTATTGGTTTTATTTGTCTATGCGAAGATAACATTGGTGTCTGATTTATTAATATAAATAGAACTGAATAAGCTTTTGTTTTTTAGTTAGTATCAGACTTAAACTTTTGATACTCATACATTTTTTTGGTGCCTTACTATTCGTCCTTTTCTAATTCGTCCTAAATGCTTTTTGTCCTGTTTCATTTTGTCTCTTTACAATTCTTAAAGGTGTGGGTGTGAGCGTGAGCGTGGATATTTTATTATCATACGTCCAAACCCACACCCTCAATAAATTTTGAGATATATAAACGAAATAAGAAGAGTATTTAATATATAAGGTTTTTACTTAAAGAACAACATTAAATGAAAAAGCAATGAGAAAAGCAGGTTTCTACGTTCGAGCTGATTCAATTGATTTGCAAAAATCTCGAAAGTTTTACATTCAGTTATTCAATGTTAATGGTAAAATCATTGTTTTCCTTCTACTTATAAATACATTTCAGATAATTTTTAGCAAAGAATGTTTCAGCAAACTCTTTCTTGTACGTAAATGATGGTAATACATGAAGAATGAAGCCAAGAATTTGAGACAAATGTGATATCAAATAAGCTCCAAGTAATAAATGACGTTGCCAATTATTTAATTCATGGTACAAGCAAAAAAGAATGTTAAAATAGTTTGAGGTAGAGCCGAAAGAACGATAATTATTGGCGTTAGATAAAGTTCTTTTTAGATAAAGAGTTGTTTATTTAATACTTGACGAAGTTGTATCTTCTTTTGAGCTGTTTTGATTCGACTACGTGCAGTTAAAACAATGAGAAGAGTAACTGAAATAATTTGAATCAAGAATGGGAGAAGATGATGAATTAGAGTCGAAATTCGATTATATGATGAAATCGAATGTCTATTAAAATTTGTTACACATATAGATAAATTAGTAGGAATATGTTTAATAATTGTATATGAAATTATTTCATGAATATGCATAAGAAGAAGAATAATGAATATAATAATACTTATTACAATAGAATAACAAGGATTTTTTAAAGAGATTGATGTAGGAAATATTACTAAACAAAGTCGATTTACAGTCACCCAGCTTATTAGCCAATAAATTGATCGTGTTAATATTGAAAATATATAAGGAATCGTTTTACATGATATCAAACTGGATATTTGAAATGTTATTTCAATAAATTTGAAGAGTAAACATAAAAGATCGATTTGATTAAGACATGTAATAAGCAATAAATAATTCCCAATAGCAAATTTTCGAGGTACTGCTCGTTTAAATGTAATAAACGAACAGAAATTATTGAAAAATTCAATCATGAAGAGTAACAAAGTTATAGTCATATAGATTAGCTTAATTTATTTCGAATGACCAACAAGTAATGAATCAAGCGTAAATCCAAATGGATTCATATTAAATTCACAAAGATTTCCATGATAACATGATGGAGAAAGACAAAGGAAATCATTTGGTTTATTAAGATTTCTTTGAATACACTGTCCACCCGATAGACATCGATCACATTGATCCAACTGAGTATCATGAAGAAAACATTCGACACCTTTGTTGTTAATTCGACATATACAAAAATAAATTTCATCATAAAAACATAAATGTTGTGTATTATTTTGACAAACTTGATGATATTTAAAAACTGATGGTACTAATGAATCTATTATTTAGAAGAACAAAACACGTCATAGTAAAACTTTATTGTATGCTTTAAACTTACCTTTTGATGATAATAATGATGAAACATGCGGACAATGATACGGAGATGATGTTATATTAATTATCATCGATTGTTTGAGACGGCTATATATTAAATAATATGATGGAATTCGAGATTTCGGATAAATTTTCATAAGTCCAATAGATGGCGTATGAGTATCCCGATGATCATAACGAATAGTTGATGGTAATTCATTATAAAGTTGTTGATGTCGAATTTTAAGCGACCAATACGAATTATAATCATACACAAATAAGATGTATATTTATCTCCAATCAGACGATATGTTGGCAGACAAGTTCCATTGTTCAAACAAGGATTTGAATTACAAGGATCGTGTTTTATGCTACAACATAGACCAAATTGACCTAATGGACATATACAATAAATATTATTTGCTATATGAGTATGTCGCCGACACACTGCATTATGTGAACAGTAACTGTCGCATTGATTTTCATATGTAGTACAATTAATTCCGTAGTAACCACTTTTACATGAACAGTAATAAGAATAATTTCCGTTTAAAATAGGTATACAGTTGGAATTTGGACTGCATTTATTATTCAAACATGGATTATTTGTTAAATTAGTAAGCCAAATAGGAAATTTTAATATAACAGATAAACGAAATATATCGGACAATGCCATGAACCAATTTCTTTTATATCACTATTATTTTCAGGAGTAAAAACATCAAAATGTACAGAATATGGATGATTATTTATAATATCAGTTCGATTAAAATATCTTTTTCATTTATGTTCTCTCACATGATCAATACGTGAATAAAGTAGATAAAATTTATGTTTCGACTTCTCAACTGTCGGAATAACAATAAGGGTGTGGGTGTGAATTAAGAGAAGATAAATATACTGCCACCCACCCACCCTCACCCTCACCCACACCCAAACTTCTTTCTATTCAAACTATCCGATTTTCACTCTAATTATAAATAGAACTGCGTATCAAAACATCAACATGCAAGCAGTATGCATCAGAACATTAGTAAAAATTAAGATTATTACTCTGAACTGTTGTTGCTCCACGAGGACTTGAAAATCTTTTTTATGCGCTACAAGAATCTTTTGACATAGCACAAGAAAACTCTTATTCACGATGCTGTGGTAACATCAGAACACTCGAGTGAGGGGATGATTTTATAAGAATGATTCCAAGCTACTTACGACGCGTGGGTGTGGATATGGGTTATATTGAAAACAGGATGCCGTTACCAACACCCACACCGACAGTCACACCCAAACTGACACCCACACCCACCCTATGTGGCAGATCATAGAAATCATCGAGTAATGCGTTGGTGTGAAGCAAAAGAAGAAGGTAAAGCTGTTGTTGGCGGAAATGGTTATGGAAATCAATTGAATTATCCCCGTGGTTTATCTTTTGATGATGAAGGAAATCTTTATGTTGGCAATGCTTGGAATGATCGATTCAAAAATTTGAATTAATCTTGTAAATAAATGTTAAAGTCTTCAACTTCTGTTGATTTTTGTGAAGGGTGGGGTGTAGGCACTTATACCTACAACACTCATATCACATACTTACGCACATCGACTTACTCATGTGTGATCAAGTGACTACAGAGATTTTGTTATTCTTTAAACAGAACGAACTCAAAGAACAAAATAAAGCTTAAAAAAGACACATTTATTTTAATGAATTACAAAACAATCTTTGGTTAATAGGAAAATATAAAATAATATTGAATTTCAGGCAAATCAAGCTTTATAAGTTATCTTTAAATAAGGTAAAGCTTGACCATAACGATAAATAATATATTCAGTATAATGGAAGCCCGTTCCTCGGACTGAATGAAATCCTTTTGGAGCTGAAACCAACGTTTGATCAACTGCATTCTGTATTGATTCATTACCTAAAAGTACTTTATTGTAAAACATAGTGCGAGTTTGATCGATAGCATTAGGCACTGTATAATTATGAGATTTTCTAGGATCATCAGCAAAATAACCACCATGACCTAAATAATAAAAATCATACGATTGAATTATCCATATTCATAATGACAGGATAAGTAAAAGATGAAGATATGAGGAGTGAATCGGATGTTATTTTATCTTCTAAACTAAATGAGGATCATAAATTAATTTGTTTAGAACACTATCCAATTTTATTCTTCGAATTCTTCATAGATTACTTACCCCAAGCACCAGTAGGTATAAAAAATCGATCATCAAAACCATCTTCCGCTATTCCTTTAATTCCATCATCCTTAGTTCCATGAAAGAGTAAGCGTTCGTTTGGATTAAACCCTGTACATTGTTTCGAAATGATTTTTTTCATAGCTTCATATGCTTCTTCTAAATATGGATTTTTAACTTGTTCAATTGATACAATCTGTAATGAACCTGATATTTGTCTCATTTCTTGTGCTAAACTTTGATATAAAGTGGTTGATGATGGTAATGGTATTAGAAGTGAATAATATTTTGGAGGCGGGTGTGGGATAAATTCGGATGATTGTCCTGATTGAGTCCATCCACGAATAGTAGTCATTTTAGTAATTCGTTCTTTAACTTGAGTATCTATTGGCCGTAGTACTTGAAAACGTTTATTTTTAATATTATCAACAATTTGTTCAAGTTCAATTGAATAAGGTTTTTGTTGAATATCGACACGCATAGCTAAATCACGTGTAAAATCTTTTTCTAATGATAAATTATTAACATCAAAATCAATTCTATCATGCGTCAATGCAACATGTGGTTCAATCAAATCCATAGTAAATGGTCCTGTTGGAGTATCTTTATCAACCAATATTATATATCTCCAATTTTCTCTAACAACGTCACATTTGATATCAAATTTGTAAAGTTCATCTTGAAATTTCTCAACATCAAAATATGCATGTGTAGGTAAATGACAATCTAAATCAGCTGGAAAAACTTGTTTAACAACAGCAGGTATTTGTTGACCTTTCTTGTTTGTAGTATATTCAAGCCAACTTGTTGGATTTTGATTTGGTCGTGATGTATAATTTCCAACAACCCAATCTCGAACAAAACCACCTTCTAATCGACAATCAAATTTACAAACAGCAATCCAAGCAACAACTTCCATTCGTGTTTCACGTGTTGCTTTCGAACCTTTAACACCATTATATAAATCGACTAATGTTCGTTTACTATCAGTTATATGGCAGATTCTCTCTTCAATATCACGACAATCTTTACGCATTTGTGGACCAAGAATACGTGGAGGAACACCTGAATAGAAATAGATTACATTAAATGCTTGATGAACTCAATAAGACCTAGTAGTACTCAAAAATACTATTCTCATAAGAAGATAAAACTAAAAATAACTTTACCTGCATTCGGATGTCTAATGACAGCACAATCTTGTAACCATCTAAAAAATGAATCAAATTCTTCTTTAACTATTTTTATATCTGAATCTCTTCCTTTAATTGTTATTCTACATGTTTTAGTTGCTGTATCACTATTAACAGTTATTTTAACTTGTTTTTGAGCTTCCCATCTCCATACCATGGGTTTAAATATTCGTGTCATTTTCATTACACTTTTAAGATTTCGAGCTAAATTAGCATATTCAGCCGAATTAGGTGGATTCTTATTTTCTAAATTAAATGTAAATTCTGTAATCATTTCTTGACGAAGATGTAATTCAGCATTTAAAACAACACTAGCTGGACCTTTTAAAGAAACGATAAGATTGTTTAATTGCATATTTATTTTATTTGAAAATTTTGATACAGCAGTTAAATATTTATTATTTGTATTTAAATAAGTTTCTTCTTCATTATTTAAATCAATTTGTCTTTGAATATTAAAATTTAACCATTCAGATTTAATTTCTCCAACAAATGAAAGAACAGCTGTAGAACGAATAGCAGTCAAATAACGAACATCTCGTGCAAAAATAAGTGAAACAGGTGCTTGACTTATTGGTCGAGTTAATGTTGATTGTAAATCTAAAATTGCTAAATCTTTTCTATCATTATATCGCATAAATTGATGAATTTTATCTTGTAAATCTTTCATTGAAATAAAAACATTATCGGAATATCCAGCTAATAATGCTTTAGCAACAAATTCCCATTTATCACATTTTATTTGAGCTTTTTCACGATATTCATTTGATTGATTAAATATTTGTTCTAAATTCGTATAACGTTTTAATGCTTGTCGAATAAGGTGCTCGATATTAGTTAAACCTTTAGCTTGACAAACACGTTTTAAATTAAATTGTTGTGGTGCTACAGATTCTCTAAGTAATAAAATTTCATTCATTATATTTAATAATGTCATAAAATCTCCATCTGGACTTTTGAAATTTTGTGGTATAGATTTAAATATAATAGTTGTATTTAAAACACTTAACATTGATGAAATACAAATTAAATCACGTCCACAACGATACTCTTCAAGAGCAGCATAGACACATTTCGACATTGGTACAGAACCAAAATCAGGTAATTTAGCAAGAGCTTTACCATAGTTTGTTAACTGATTGTTCGCATCTGTCCCCAATACCTCTGAAATAGTTTAATATATTCGTATTAAAAAAAATTAATACTATAAAAATAAAACTATGATCGAACAGAATCAAAAAAGAAGGCTCTATAAGAATGGACTAAAAGATTGATCAGCATCGCATCTATAAAACTTACTGAATTGAATTAATTCTTGAATAGTTAGATTAATGGCTTGTTGTGAGGGTTTATCTGGTAAATATTGTTTTAAATAATTTAATCCTTGTTTTAATGGTGATTTTCTTAATGTAAATTCAATATTAAGTAAATCCGATTGACATATTTGTGCTGTTGGAAATTGTTTTTGTTTAACATCAAAATCATATAGTGCATAATATTCTCCTGGTCTTGTTCTACCTAAACGTCCAAGACGTTGTTTAATAGTTGATTCAGCTGCTCGAACTTCTTTTAGAATTGTTCGTTTAGAATCTAAATCATAAACAGGAATATTAATCATTCCTGTATCAATAACATATTTTAATGAAGGAAATGTTAATGATGTTTCAGCAACAGTTGTTGAAAAGAAAACACTT